GGCGGCGTGATGACCAAGCTCATCGAGCGAAACACCACCATCCCGACCAAGAAGGACGTCGGGTGATGTCGGACGTTGGTTCTGAGGACGCACAGGAATAGTAGTATATAGGCCCACGGAATATCCTGGTGATTTGTGTGTCAAAACATGCTATGTCAATGTATAATTCAACAGCCCAAGACCCCCGCAATTTGCTCAGTATAGGTTGACATTGGTATAGAGGATTCTGATTGTGACCCAAAGCCGACATGTGTCATGGTCCACACATTTTGCCACCTCCAGAAGAGGAAGCACGACCCTCACAGAGAAGAACCTCGATGTTTGAGCTGTTTGTGGAAGTGTTCACTATAGTTTTCTGAACATTTCTGAGATGTTCATGGTTTGTGGAAGTGTCCAATAGATTCTGACATGTTTGTTCCTGAGACGTTCATGTATGTTCAACCGTTTCTTCCACCACATCCAGCCTTCTTCTCGGGCGCGCTTCAGACTGTGCCAGGCACAGACCTTCACCACCTACGCGGACAACCAGCCGGGTGTCTTGATCCAAGTCTTCGAGGGCGAGCGAGCCATGACCAAGGACCGTCCGACCGGGACCGGTCGTGTGTCACGGTCACGGCTGGTCACTGGGATGGTCAAGACCTCAGAGTCAGAGCGTTTCGGTCGGTTTCTGTCGGTTGGCGAGTGACGATAGTGATTGATGGTGACCAAACATGATGAAGTCCGGAGGTGAAGGGCCGACTCGATGGCCAAAGGATGTTTGGAAGATGAATCGCTACATGTAAAGAAATGGGGATTGTTTTGGCTTAAATGTGCCTTTTTGCCGTGGACGAACAGCATCTACCCAAACCAGCTCTCTATCGCATGCTTGGGCCGCATGCCCCTCCTCATCCCCACCTCAATGGAATGAGTACGAGATCAAATCGCATGGCTTCGGTGGTGCTTCCGACCTTGGACAGCTGCGGTCCACGGCGTCGGTTTCACCCATGGGTTTGCAAGCAGCTCAGACAACTCAGACCTCGTGCCCATGAAATCCCAACATCCACGAAGCATGTGTCTTCAGGACAACAACTTGCTGGGCAAGTTCCACTTGGATGGCATCCCCCCTGCCCCACGAGGTGTCCGACGGCGGGCGACATGGGGGGGGTGGAGACGGGGGCCTGACGCAACAATGCAGGGAGGATCCACAGGTGTCAAGTCGCTTCGTTTGGTTATTTAGTTGGTTGGTTGATGTTGGTTGGCTAAGGTTGAAGATATAAGCATTGCCACTACGCCGGGTGCGTTGAGTTCTAACCTGGGAAGCGACAGGACTGTGCGGTAATGGGGTTGAGAAACATCATGAAACGTCAGCTTTGGGGACTAGTCTATGTATATATATATATATACACATCCATATAAATATACGATCATATATATATACGATATTCATCTAGATTCCATTCTTAGAAGATTCTGTTCAATATGTTCGATGTGAAGCTAATTATACCAGACCACATGTGTTCATGTAGTTTGTGTGGGTGTGACATGAGCAATGACCCATCCAACCTGGTTGTGCACCGTGAAATCGTCCTTCAGCGTCGCTGGGGAACGCGCACGCGCGCTGAATGCGCCAGGTGTGCCACAGATCGAGGTCACCTTCGACATTGATGCCAACGGCATCTTGAACGTGAGGGCCTCCGACAAGTCCACGGGAAGATCCAACCAGATCCTTGGAATGGCCAGCGGAACTACGCGGAACACTCGCGCGCAGTATACTACGCGGAACTCGCGTCACCAGCGCTGTGGGGTGGTAGAAGCGCTGCGGGTCCTGCGGAAATGATTGGAACACTTGGGAAAAGGCCGATGTGGCCGGTTGTGAGGTGTTCAAGGGAAATGACGAACTTTCAACTGTTTCAGGGAACACAACTGTGTGAGCCAGCTAGCGGAAGCCAAGCGGATCCCAAGCAAAACCTGATGAGCGATCTGCAGCTTGCACCCACTTGGTCAGCCAGGATCACCATCACCAACGAGAAGGGCCGCTTGTCGCAGTCCGAGATTGACCGCATGGTCCAGGAGGCCGAGAAGTTCCGTGCCGAGGATGAGCAAAACAGGCAGAAGATCGAGGCCAAGAACGGCTCCTTGGCGCTCTTTCGTTTTGCATTCTTTCATTCCACAGGAAGGATCAATATTGTATTGGAACTCAACCCCCAGGTGGGATTTCAGAGAGTCGAACTGAACGTTGCTGAAAGGTCTTGGATGTCTCCCATTGAAGTGTCCGTGATCGAGAATCTTCCAACAGCACACCAGTGTCATCCAGTGTCCAAGGTTTGGAGAACTACTGCTTCACCATGAGGAACACCTTGAACGAGGAGAAACTGAAGGACAGAGGCTGCGATTTCGGATTCAAGCCTGGGTGAAAGCCGGCGGTGTCCGACACCAGAGTACCGAGCGGAACGTTCGATGGCTGACCTCGTGTGAACCTGACTGATGGTCCAAAGAGAACACTCGATTTCGGGTGGCTTTAAGGCGTGATATCTCTTGGGATTGACAGCCAAAGGGGAGAGCTCAGTTTCTTCGTGTGTGAACCTGGGACTCACAAGGCCCGTAAGATACCCCCCTGATTCAGGTGATTCCTTTTGGATACAGTCCCCTCAACAGCACTCATGTTCTGAGACTGAGGTTGGGTTGTCCAGTCCTTTAACCCTTTTGGGGGATTGGTTTCCGCACGAAACAAGAACAGTTGGGAAACGGTTATTGTTAATTGTCCATCAAAGCTGAGGGGGTCAGAAATGTTCTCGTTCATTTAGACGGTACTGGATTCGAACAATCAAGAAAATCGGAGCTGCTGGAATACAGATAATAAAGGTTCGACATGGTTCGACCATGTGACAAAAGAGGTACTCCTTGCAGGCAAAAACCTGAAGCAAGAGTAGAGAGCTCCTAAGAAAGGGTTCTTTGATTCCAGCTTGATGGTATGGTATGGTAGGGTAGGCCCTAATGGGGGGAGCATGGGGGAGCGACCACTTGTCATTTAATTATTGCTTTATGTCTAACGCTCTTTTTGGGGTATGTTCTGAAAGGTTTCCAAATGGGCTCGGATATCGTGATATGATTGATGCATGATTTGTATACTGACCAACATGAAAGCATACGAAAGCCCAGGTGTTGAAATCCTTAAACAAACAAAAAGATCTTCGCTCTTCCAGGACAAGTTCGAGGGCGGCGACAAGGAGAAGATCGAGTCGGCCGTTCAAGAGACCCTGGACTGGTTGGACAAGAACCAGTTGGCCGAGAAAGACGAATTCGAGGCCGATCGCAGTTGACACGTGGCTGGCGATAGGTGACACGTGGCTGAAACATGCTGAAGCAGCACAGTCCGTGTCCTTCTTTCCAAGACAAAAAAAAACATAAAACCTGATCAATTCTCTTTCCCCCTGTCCCGCATTCCTCGCTGTTTTGAATGGTCTCACAGGTAGGTGACCTTCACATGTTCAGCTTGAACAACCCCCTATAGTCCAAGCAGCCGGTCTTGGCGTCAAACCAAAGGCACATGGCACATGGTCACATGGCCCCAGGTGGGGCTGAGAAACATCGAAGAAAACCGTTGGAGAGTGGGTTTAAACGGCCCCAAATCCCTGATAGTTGGACTAGGTTGGAATTCTGCTCCAAAAAGGCCAGCGCAACTGGCTGAAATACCCTGGTGGCACCATGGTGGTACCTTTCATGTAAGGCCCCACGGTCCCTTTTGCAGAAGTGGCCGTTTCACGTGACACCCAACTGCTTGCTTCGCATGTGGTTCCTTTCGGTGGCCCCACCGGGCCTGTGCGGCCTAATCTCTCTCTCTCTCTCTCTCTCTCTCTCTGTCTCTCTCTCTCTGCAGGCCAAGCAGAAGGAGCTGGAGGGCGTTGTGAACCCCATCATGATGAAGGTCTACCAGGCCGCAGGCGGCGGCGGCATGCCCGAAGGCGGCATGCCCGGTGCCGACATGGGTGGCGCTCCAGGTGCGGCACGCGACGTGCGCCGGGGTGGACATTTGTGTTTTTTGATGTTTTTTTGTTGATGTTTGATGTTCAACTCAATTTTTGGGGTGAAATGTAAGTAATTAGAGAGAATCAGGGAGATTGGTGTGGTTTTGTGAAAGGTTTCCTTGGAATTGAATCTCTCAATATGCGATCCAAGCACAGCAATCTCATAGAAGACTCTCATACCCGGTTCTCAGCATAGGAACTTACATGAACTAGCTCAGCAAAACCTACAGAACAAGGGGGGTCCGTTGCTTGTTTGGAATTGTTTTGGATTGGCCGTCCACATTCCCCTGTTGGAATCAAACAAAGCTTCTGGAAGACCCCGTGGCGCGTCGAAAGCAACGGCGAAACATCCACCAAGTCTCGGCCTTTTGTTTGTCCGGGAGTCGGTGGCGCGCGCGCGCGCTGAGTCGGATCACCTAAGCACTTTGATCACTTGGGCACTGCAAGCACCAAGAAGGACAGGTGTGAAAGACTACGTCTACAACGGCCGCACGGTGCGCTTCACGTGGCGCGTGGCGCTCCAGGTGGCAACAGCGGCCCCACCGTTGAAGAGGTGGACTAGTTCGTGAGCTGAGACAAGCTTTAGCTGCACGGCCACGCCAGCTTCTTCGCAGCTGGACCATTCGGCTTTGCCCAAAGACGATCGATGTACAGCCCTGTTGGTGAAAGAGAGGATCTTGCGATTGATTATCACGACAGGCTGATCTTGAGGCATTTTGACACCAGTCCTTTCAATTTCCGGTGGGGAGTTCACTGATGCGTCCAGGGTTCAAGGATCCTGAGTTCCTCACTGACTGACAGCTGAAGTGAAGTCAGTTCCTGTCTACACACTGAGATGCAAACCGTTGCAAACCGCAATCACAGCTTTCTAAGTAGATTCCAGTGTTAATGAGTTGAAGAGGATGTGTGCTTGGAGTCTATTCCCCCCATTTCAAGCTGCTCTGGCCCCGCATTTGTACTTCACCCGTGGCCCGTTGCTCTTCCAAGTTGTCGCAGGCCCTCTATGATTTGGGCCATGCCCGGTGCGCTGTCCAGAAGAGATCAGGAGATATGGCTCCAAGGGTCTCCAAGCTGATTGGGAAACGATCATCAAAGACTCAAAGAATTTATATATATGGTCCAAGAGCGTTCACTTGTCAAGCCCTACTTTGATGTTATGATTTATGATGCTATATATTTTAAATTTGATTAAATTTGTATCAGCTGCTTCCAAGGGGTCACCAATGGACAACCCCACACTACCCATAGGCATCCCTTGAAAGCGCTAGGTAAGGTAGATTATGATAGATTGCGTTGATGTTCCATATTGTTCGCTTTTTGCTACATGTTCCAACAAGTCTATGGATGTTCAAAGAACCAGAGGTTGCCAAGAGCGGTGCACATCCGTTTTGGCCCGCAGATGTGAGGCAAACTTGCTTGATGGTGGACGGTTTTCCCTCTCAGCTGCGCCCTAGAAAACCATTCTTGATTTGCCAAGCCAACATCGAGTCCAGTCCCAGCATTTTAGACCCCTACTAATTGAACCCCCCAGCATACGGGCCTCCAACTACGGCTCCACGCCGAGAGCCACGCAGGTACAGCAATGGTCCTGAGTCCTTCTGGTGTCCGCTCTGCCGGTTCAAGGCTGCCGGAGCTGGGAGTTGAGTCGGACGTCGGGGTTGATTGCTGTCGCCGGCTGTCCACGAAGACCTGTTCGCGCTTGGATCTTTTGGGTGGGTTGATGTGAATGTGGGTCAAACACTGGAGCCCCAAGCCGAGGTTGACTTGCCAGGGAGTCGATTCTGTTCATTCTTGGTGGTCAACCAGGGCACCCCCTGTGCCATGACCACACTGCCATGCACGCCCGGCCGGGCAGAAAACCACTCGAAGACCACACGTGTGAATCCACCATTCGGCTTGACCTCGACTCCACGCTGCTTTGTCCTGAGGTCATGGACCCCTTCAACCCCTTGGCCACCACGGAAGGAGTCCTGAAGTGCCTCGCCACTGAAACGAGAACGACTGGAATCTCCAGATGCTTCATAAACTATCGACAGCTCTCTAATTACGTAACCTTGAAACATTTTCAAGGGGTTGAGAAAAGGTGCTCGCCAGGGTATGATCCACTGCCCAACACTAACAGGATAGTATATATTATATACTATATATGATAATAGTTGTTTTTCATATTTTTGGGGTCCCAAATTATTTGATTCGATGCAACCCAAAGTGACCACTGGGCGACCATTCGGCCATTCGCTCATGTGCATTTATGTGCATGTCCCTTTTGTGCCTTATTTTGGGGGAATGGTCATGGCACATAGTTGCACTTGTAGCGTGATCTTGGCAAGGATCCATCTGGATCTATGCCCACGTAGCGCTCGATTCGCCTTGATCTAAGGCACCTTCAAGTGATGGAGCCCCACTTCGACTTCACGTTGGACTGGGGCGGTATATGTTTTCGAGGGATCGCTGCCTTTTTGAGAAGATGAGTCGATACTCGAATCAGGATGGTGAACTAGCTGGGCCAGGGGGTTATTCCATGTAGAATTAACTCTAGGAATCACAGCTATTCACAGCTGATTATTGTTTTTGTTTGCGCATCCGCATTATACAATATTATGCTGTTACAGCTCACTTTTAACAGTAGAAGATCTTTATGAATACTACGCCATCAAAAATCACGGAAACATGTCAGTCATGCGACCCAATGCAAGTACGGCCAAGATAAAACAGACACCATCACAAACACTTTTTTTTTTTAAAAAATAATATATATATATATTTTTGTGATTTTGTCAAGCTGGTATATTATTGTTTTGATATATCATGTTGTTTTTTTGGGGTGTCCGCTTGCCGCGTGGCTTCCACGATCGGATGAAGACCCGATTCGCTGCGATCCAGGAGCTGCCGCACTTGCGGCAGTGGCGCCGCGAGGGGAAGGCGGTGGAAGTCCGCATGCTGCGCGTCACGTGGCAGAGTCAGTGGGAGTCACGGGAATCAGCCAGACACCATTTGGGTATAAGTGATGATACTGTGTTGCTATTAATTAGTTTGTTGCCATGATAATTAGTTGACGTATTTGCTTCATTGTAGGGGTCACAGGGCGTATGTGCTTGTGCTTTACTCAATGGGCTGGGTCGAAAGTGTTTAGAGGCATCCTTGATTCATGGTCATAGTTGCGGATGTTGTCCTCAGGAGGATACCACCAAATCTATCATATACATATTGCTTAAATACATAAATAACACATACCAAGTTTGCAACGCGAACCAACAACTTTGCAACTCAGAAGGGGCAATTGATTTTGAACAGAGAAGCGCTTAAAGCAAGATGGAAGATAGTGGGCTTAAACTGTGGATGGTTCCCCGGTGATTGAAGGGCTGTTGCACCTGAATGCAATAGTTTTACACTCCAGATTCGTGTGCTCATCCTGAGGTGGACAGTCCCAAAGTGGAGCAGGTTGGCGGAGCTTTTCTTGACAAAGTCAAGGCATTTGAAGACTTCAAGTAGATACAAGGCAGAAGGAGGTCCAAGGGAATCCTGCAGGGAACTTTAGGAAAGTGACTGGCTTATCTGACAGCAATGACAGCAACCACGTGTGTTCTTTTGCGGCACGTTTTGGCGTATGTAGGTTCTAAGATGTTCCAAGATGATTGAGTAGCCATAGCTAGTACCATTAATCTCCTGCAACATAATACCTATATTATATATTAATGAATACCTATATCATATGGAGGTTTGCAGGATGATGTTCTTCATCTCCCGAACCCAGCCATCATCGACCTCGGATCATCCCACCCGAGCCACACAGGTCTGGCCTCGTGCCATCCACTTCTTCGCCAACGGAGCCGAGGTCCGCGCGGTTTGAATGCGCGGGGCTCTTCTTCAGAAAGGGCGGTGGCGGCTCTTGTTGGATCCAAAGAGGTGTTGATCTTTTAATGTTCTTTAGGAACCCTCCAAAACCAACAAGGTGGAAAACCCTCCAAAACCTGCAAAATGGTGGACAAACCCTCAAAAAGACGGCGCTCTTCTCACACAACTCCGTCACTTCCGCCGTCCGCCCCGAACACCCCGCGACCGGCGACCTGTTCAGTCCTCACGCCGCCGCGACCAGGTCTTCGCCGTCCATCCGCCCGAGGAGACCTCGGTTCTCTCGCGGGGCGAGAGTTGCGGGACGGGCGAGCGCGCAAGTTGGGTGGACAGGTAGATCAGATCGAGCTCTTGGTGCGAAAAAAAGAGGTCCTCCCAAATTTGGATTGGAAGAAGCCTCCTTCTCCATGGGGGGATTGAAAAGGACACTACATGTGTCTGTGTCTACAATGTCTGCGGTGTTTGAGGCAGATCGACTCAGTCGCTGGACCGGAGGGTGGTCTTTCTCGCCAGCCGTTTGAGCCGCTCGACGGTCGAAAGAGGTCTGACGGTCTGCGGCGACCGCCAGACCGCACCTAAAACACTGCCGAAGCTCGCATGGAAGGCTCGATGTCAATAAGGCTGTGGACTCGTGAGATCTCTTGTATTGATCAAGAGTCATTAGGCAAAGAGGCGCCTTTTTTCAAGCCGAAGCACAACTAGATTCCTAGATGGATGATCTATGATGATCTTACCTGGTGTCATGTTCCCTAAAGATGGTCATGTGTTGACCCTTTTAACCTTGGGGATACCAAACCCGAAAGGATGAATAGGTTTTCTTCCCGATGTCCCTGAACCAAACCACATGTATGCAGCATATACTAGTTGATTCCCAACCCATCTCTTGCGGTCCAAACCAGGAGGGCCACAAGCGGCGCGACGTACCGGAGGACATCTCCGGTGGCTTGAAGGACCGCTGGTGGCCGGTGAAACGATTCCCAAGGAAGCTGCTAGGTCGTTACTCGAAAGCTTTTCTTGTTACTGTCGAAGCTTCCTCCAGACATGTCCTGTTACGTTTCCACAGAAACCCTAAACCCTAAAACATCCTAAAACCCTGAGACAGGGACTTCTGGCATGGATGGAATACGATGTGCCTAGTGATGTTCCTCTACAAATGGACCTGGCGTTCACATCCTTGCCAGGCTGGCCAGAACCAGATCAAGGTCCGAATGGCCCGGAGCTCCAGGATACAGACTTGCTGAAGGTTCAAGAAAAGAACAGTGATCCATGGTTTGCAGATATAGATGTAGGTATGATGTAGGTGTTTTTCCTATCTCAATCACCAACCATGGAGACCGTCTTGGCATTGTCTTGGCACCACTGCGCATCCATCGCAGTTGCTTCCACACTTGCCAGTACAATGACCGGTGCCCTTCAGTCTTCGTGGGAAACCTACTCGGACGAAAGACAACATGTCGGACGTCTCAGCAACCTGCTCTGACTGGGGACCCACAACCTCCCCCCCCCAGCGCCCTCCAAGGGCCTGTGCTTCACGTGAGTCGTAGTTGAGAGACACTTGAACAAATGGGTCTGGTTGCAGTGAGTGCTAGTTGTTTTTGTTTGCCTAAGAAACGTGCCTTATTTAACAAGGACAGAAAGCACATGTGAGATGCTTTTCTGCCATGGGATTGTTGGGACTCTTCATCTGCCAAGCTTGGCGGCCTGCGAGGCCGCCCCGACTCCCTGGGCCCAAGGAGTACCAGATCGCTCATTCAGGTCTTGTTCCTGATTTGAGGTGTCTCCCGTTCGTCCAATCACAATCGATTCCAACAACCCTGCAGTTTTCGCACCAGTTCGTTGGTCCGATGCTGCCGGGGGGCGGTCAGAGACGCTGGCCCCTCCGGTCGGTCCGGAGGTCGGCGCGGAGCGGTTTCGGAGCCTGGCACGGAGCGGTTTCGGTGAGCCGAGCGTTCAGTCACGGACGTGACGTGCACTGCGAAACCAGGTGGATGATGACTGCGTGGGCTTCGTCATGGTCCTGCTTCTGACGTGTCAGCAGAGCCAAGAAGCTTTGGCCCAACAGGCGCTCAGCCCCGAAAATGGCGGTCCCCAGGAGCCCGGAAGGCTGTCCAGCGGCTGGTTGGAGTATGTTGGAGTGATCCAGGAATCTCGTACTTCAAGGTTTATGAATGTGTATGATTTATGATTTTCTATATAATCGCGGCCTTCACTATCACCTTCCCAGACTATCACAGACTTATTTGATCTAATTTGGCTGCCTACTGTACCACTCCGCCACTCACATCGAAGGCCCAATCTCTTGGTCCGGGGTCAAGCATTGTTTGGCTGCACATGTTGCAGGTCAATCTTTGGTGTTTCCTCACAAAGGATGTACTATCACGATGTGTTTGGTAGACCAACATATATTCCATGATCCTGCTATCTGGGGATTCAATTTGTATTCATATCCAGGGTTTCTTCCAAATCTTCTAAATTGATTGTCAAAGTCTTTAATGATATTATAGTGACTCTGACATAGTCATAATATTATTTTTTTTGGTTCCTTCGAAACAAGCCATGTCCCTCTCCAAACCACCGCACACCACCTGCCAGCGACACCGGGTCACGTCGCATTCTTCCACCAAGCGCGACCCGTGCTGCAGGTGAGCGCCTGCGAGGAGCCCTTGGCTCGCCGGCGGGTGCAAGACCTACTGGCGAAGCAAGCGCGAAGTCCGGGAGCCCTGGCGGATGTCGGAGCTGTCGTGAGTCGTGCGCTGTTTGCGAGAGCTGCGAGTCCTGTGGGTCTGGATAGGAGGGAAAATCAAGCACATGGTAGTTTGTTCTGTTCTCTATTCTGTTCATTCTTGTTGGTCAACCGTCCCGCGGTTTTGACCCGCAGCCAACGTAGTCCTGGGACGCCCGTTTTGGTCGAAGACCGCCAGACCGAACGCCTCGTTCACTGAGATACCCTTTTGGGCGATGCAGATGGCGAGGACGGGGAAGCGGGTTCAGTCCAAAAGTTGCAGTTTTATACAGTTAGTGTTTATGTTCTTTGATATGTGGACAACTGTGTTAAAGATGTAAAACTTGGATGAACTATGATGAACTATTTCCCGAAAGCATTGCGAAGGGTTCTTCCGGAAAATCCTTTGAACACTGACACTTCGACACTTACACTTCGACACTCACACTGGAAGAGCGAAAGCATCCAAGTGCGAAGTATGCCAGTGTCAAAGTATGCAAGTGTAAGTATGCAAGCATGATATGCAAGGGTGAGTATGCCATGATATGCAAGGGTGCGTATGCAAGCATGCAATGAGTAGGCAAGTGTGAGTATGGACGGGAGATGTCCTAATGAAAAAACATTTCCCCACTTTATAAATTCTCTCTTAAAGGCGGAGTGCGGGACGAACAGCGTCAACCGAAAGTGCAACCCTCTGCGGAGATCGTGCGTGTCGAGTGCGCGAAATGCAGGC